CACACACACACACACACATACGCGCACAAATATACACACACATGCACACCATGGGTCATGACAATATGCGATTATGCACTTGCACGCAAACGCGTATAAAAAGGGCCGTCTGTGTTTCCTGTCTTCGAGCTAAGCTTGCGTTTCCCAGTATTTAATAACAGCCACACGGTCCATCAGTGCTTGTTCCGCATCCTTGCTGGTTTTGTCCTTGATTAGGATCTGTGCAAATGCGGGGTTCTCAAACAGTTTAAGCCAGCGCGTTTCTGGATATTTTGAAAGACTATTTCAGGATGAACTGTAGATGTTATGAAAAAAGGAATCGAAATTGGTTTTAACAAAAGAAAGTGGCATACAATAGAAAAGAATTGTAACGCGCACATATACCTCAACAGAGACTCCAGTTTTTCGAGAAGCCGAACACTCTTGCGCATTACACTTTCTGCCCTCACTGATCATCCGCTGTGTCAAAACAGTTCGTTTCTCGACGACTGTCACCACTGGCAGTGCGAACAGCAGCAGTTCAGTACCGCAGTCAGCATCCAAGAAACCCGTCGTCCGGCTGCTGCTCTCCCTGCCTACTCCACAAACATGAAATTCCTCCTCATCACAGCTAACGTTGGTTCACTTTTTGAAGAGGTATCATTTTTACCAAATCACACAATTTGCTTGTTGAATGCTTTGACTCCGCTTTAATCAAACTGCGCTTTGACTATAGCTTGCCTGGGAAAGCGCGGGATAGTGCAGGGGAAAGACTGCTCCATACCCAGTGACACACAGAATTGTGTGCCTGAGAATAGAAAATGTGGAGAGCTGACTGTAAGGGCGTGAAAGTTAATTGAAACGGACGCAATTTTTGGCAGATAAAACGCAAAATTTGACAAAAGAGATGCAGAATCAGTGAAGCTGGCGTGAAGACGTTTCGCCGAATAGGTACCATGCAGCAACTAAATGTTATTTACTATTTTTAAGGTTTTTCACAAATGTAAGGTGTTCTAGCACAATTAGCTGTTTGTACAATTAGCTATTTGTAGATAAAATTGAATAAAAGTGAATTAAAAGAGATATGCGTAGAGGAATATTTATATATAAGTGAATTTTTGCATACCGTTCATGGAAATTTATGCATATATAACAAAATAAGATATAAGTGCGCATACGCATGTTTAGTAAGAACAGCTAGGAAAAGGAAGCATCACAACTGGACCTCGTCCGAACAACGCACATACACAAGCAGCTCAGTTTGTTTGCGGCCAAATTGAACTATATGTGTGTTTGTTTGTTTGTTTTTTTGTAGTGTGCGTGCACACATATCGCATGTGGCTATCTATCTGTTAAAATGAAGAAAAGTTAAATTTTGGGGTTCTAAAAAGATTAGTGAGGTGAGGGTGAGGAAGTTGCCCAGCTCCCAAAAACCGGTCTTACGGTTTAAGCGGGCTGAGATGAGAAAGCAGAAGTTGGTCAACCTCACTGGAGAACTGGTTTCAAAAAGAAAAGGACAGCACAATGCGATTTTACCTGCATGTGTTTTTGTTTACTTTACTTTTTCCCTTTGTTCGTTGACTAGTCGAATGGTTTGTTTGACTGTTATTTTGAGCGGTAAATTCAGTCCTAACCTTCTGTCGCATTTATCCGTAACAACTTGTAGTAGAAAAAACTGTAACTACATAGGTGCTTCGGGGCAGTTTTTCGTGAATTCATTTTTTCATAGTTGCTTTATTTTCCTCTTCAGTTCGTGATAATTGTTCAAGTATTTAAAGGACATCAGGGTATTATGTACAATTTTGGCTATGATCCTGAGTATGATCCCTTTAATCCCAATTCTTCATGGGGCGCCCAAGTAGTCATATACTTTCTAATAATAAATATTGATATCGATCCTCGCCCATCTGTCGCGTTGCTACTGCGTCCTTATCGTACTTCAGCAGCAAATCAGTGGAAAAATGCAATACTTTTTAGAAAAGTAATTTTTAAACAAAGATGTGGGCATCTGCAATAACTGACACCTTTGAAACAAAAAAGATGTGGTCAGACCTTTTTTCAGCAAGCATAAGATGCAGCTTTTGTCATTCTTGAGTCAGCGGTGCTCCAGCGACAATTTTTTTAGCAGCAATTT